ATGGAAAAGTTGGGGGAGATTCAGATTTTTTTTAAAAAAAAATCTGAAAACAAATAGTAGTCAAGTAGTTTTTATGTACATTCAATGAAGAAACAGTTTTACTGTGGATCAATAGGACAAGTTTTTCTCTGTGTAGGAAGTATGGATATACATCACTAAAACTCATATACAAAGAGATATACCCAAGGCAAGATCTCTTTATTGAATTCTTTAGCAGAAGGCAACACTATGGTAAATTTTGAACAAAGCATACATTATAATCAGAAATATGATAATAGATTATATGACATGTTCTGTACCACCAGAATAAAAGGCAACATTTTAATATGCAAATTATTGATAAAAAGTAAAGCCGTTCTTTTTGTATATGCATAGCCTTAATTCTCATTATGTTATTAATTACTATATGAATGCAAATAAGAGCTACAAGAACAGCTGAAACAGACCTCTTTCTTTGGAAAATATGAATACATATGGTTGGTGTCCCAGTTTTTGTTTGTTCATGGTACCAAAATGATCAAATGACAGGAACATAAATGACTTCCCACTTCAAAGTTAAAGATTAAATACATGTTTGCCATATGCTGGGTGGTGAATCACATATTGATAACTTGGTTATAAGAAAGCAAGTCCAGAAAGTATTTAATATAGTTGAAGTTGGAAACCACAGGTTCACATTTAAACTGCTAGATTAGGATCAAATTAATTTGAAGGAATGAGATCACATATGAAATCAAAAAGATGGGAAGAATCAGGAGATGGGAAAGGGAAGGCCAGAAAGTAGGAGCAAAATGGAAAGCTGAAATGCACAAGAGCTAAATTCATATCTTGTATTTATACTATTCCTATAAATCTGTGATCCAGAAGTGGTATTCAGCAGGTACTGATCAGTTCTACAGAACCAGTAGCGGAAATTTTGAGTAGTTCAGAGAACAGGTAAATACCACCTTTGGTTGGCTCTGCCCCCATCTATTTGCTGCCTCCTGAGTCCCAGCTGATCAGAGTCCCAGCTGATCGGCTGGGTCTTCTTTTGTTACCTTGCACAGGAGAACAGAGCTGGAAGGCAGGTTAGTGGAGTGGGAAGGGAATGGGGATTTTATAGTATCTTTCCCCTGCCACGTCCACCAAGCCACACCCACCAAATCAAACCACACCAATCAAGCCACACCACACCCACCAAACCACACCCACAGAACTGTAGTTAAAAAAAATTGAATATCACCACTGCTGTGATCTCATAATATTCCCACTAGACAATTGAGCCAATTTACTTTCAGCTCACCTGAACCACAAGAATAAACAATCTGAGGCCAATTTACAATTAGAAATGCTGCAGGCCCTATAGAGATTTGGGAAAGTGTATTTTCCCATTTGTGAAAATTCTTGGTTTCTTTACTTCTGGGCTGTTAGATACTTCCATGTACAGAATAATTTCATTAGTTGACTGACACAGTTGGATGCGCTTAACACACATGCATGATTAATAAACACATACAAAGAAACTTGCATGTAAATTTATTATCTATTACTCTATTGTAAAGCATTTCCAGTTTCTTTTTTTTTCTTTATAGCAATTTTAAGATTCAGGGTACCTTACAGTTTTCAGTTACTTATCAATTCTCCCACCACCACCTGTTTCCAGTCAATATCAGATAGTTTTGCCCATGGGATATTGATTTGGATAAAGGAGAAAGTAGATGAAAGGGAACAGAAAAGTAATTATCTCCAAGTTCTTTGAATCATGCCTACCATAAGTGACAATATAAAACCAGTCTATTTTTATTTTTTGGATTGCAGAGCTCCTTCTATTCATAAAAAATCAGAGATGACTAGGAACAAACATGTTCAAGTAAAGAAATAGGCTAAATATCACAAATATCAAAGTTCATGGCAGCCACTTGTATGCATAAATGGAAGCCCAACACATTTTTGTGTTATTATAGTAGCTGTAGAATAAAGGATTAAAACCCACAAGATCATGAACTATAAGTGAGGTGAATATTTCTTTTTTATTTTCCATTGAAAGTAATTTCATATAGTTTGTATATGCAACCTGAGGAAAAAACCTGCTTGTTTTGAATTCCTAATATAACTAGCACAGCCTAATTGGCAAATAATTTTTTCAAAAGTTACATGAAGGAAAATACAACTTGATGCACACTTTTAATTATTCCAATCCAACCAATTACACTTCTTTACCTGTATACTATGTACTCCTAGAATTATGTACATTGAGAAAAATCATTACTGCCTTGTGCATTTGCTTTGCTGTAGCAGATAAATATGCCACATAAACCATAGTCATTTTAAATAGAGGGATTGGAATAAATCCATTATTTTGGTATCTTGCTTTGTGCAACATTGTGACAGAGCAAGAGAATTTACAATTTAAAATGCATTTGGTTGTGCTTTAACTTTTGCCGCAGTGAAGAACTTCACATTTTTTTCCCTGTCCTTCATATTTGTAATGGTAGCTTGCCAAGAAGAAGCGTTGCCAACTTGGATTTAAAAAGAAAAAGTAAAAAGCTTAAGTTAGTCATATGCCATCATCCAAAACAATCCAAACTGGAGCCAATTTAGTGCACATAAGTTAAAGATGAATTTATGCTGTTGAGCCTCATAATATGTGTAACCAACAGGGAGCTGTCTGGAGAGAGGGATTTTTGCAAATCTTTCTGCTAGATCAATGAGCCAAATGCAAAATTTAACAACCAGTGGTATCATGTTGAATTGTCATATTCCCTAGGGGAGTTGAGTCCAGCAACCAATGAGTGGATTACACTGATCCATAAATGCAATTTTTCATCTGTGACAGATATAATGGTTTTATTCATATTGCATAACTGAGAGAGAACAACAGATAATGAATCTTTTTTTAAAAAGAGTAAATGTAGAATTTTTAGCAGGTGACACTGGACTTTTCAAAGAACACATATATCAAATCTGAATCAAGTCTTTTCAAGTTTTTTCATGACCCTTCTGATTGAGAGATACTTATTTCCAGCCATTCAACTTTGTTAACAAATAATAAAACATTTTTATCTATCTATCTATCTATCTATCTATCTATCTATCTATCTATCTAT